CCTATATTGGGAAGGTTGTGGCCTCTCAAGAATCATGAGGAAAATTTTCTATGTCAGGAAGGTTGTGGCTTCTCCAAGAATCATGAGTATAATTTCATATATCGGGAAGGTTGTGGCCTCTCCAAAAATCATGAGTATAATTTCCTATATTGGGAAGGTTGTGGAGTTTACTTGTTAACTGAATGACAAAACTGGGGAAGGTTTCATGCATATTTCAACTCACATTTCCATGAGGTGACCTAAGCAGATGATATTTTGCATTTGCTGTTATTATCGTGAAAAATATGGTCCATTCCTGACAACATTTACACAGCTTAAAAGCAATTGGTTTACAAAAGTAACATCACTAAAGAACTGACAAAATTTAAAGAATGGTAAATGCACTTTTCATTTCTTCAAAAGATGTCCAAACAGAACCAACAAAACACTAGTGTAAATGCTGTATTTAGCCTGAAAAAAATTGTCAATTGAAGCAAAGTGCATTTTGTGAATGGGTGGGGCACAGTGGTATGGATGTGAGTGAGTTTGTTTCTGCATTCAATTTGGGACCCAGAACAAAAGAGGAAAATGAGGTCCCCGATTGACAGAGGGTCCCCGGTTGACAACTGTGTACAAAACATATGGGTGGTCTTCAAAAAAAGTACAAACAAAAGAGGAACAATAGGGGGTCCCCAGTTGCAGGCAAATACACACTTCCATGAGTGTTTGGGGGGGGGATGGGCAGTGCATAATGATTGAAGCTAGTCCTTCAAAAAAGTCTGACAGAACATACCAAAGGAATGTAGTGGCAGCACACAATAAAAGTAGATGGTGGGTGGTTCACATCCTACTTGAGGTCTTCCTCTTCTTGACTGGCATCCTTGAGGCCCATTTCTTTGTCAAATTCGGCATCAGATATCTGAACATCAGAAAAGTACACAAACAATTTATGCAAAATTGGTTGTTCCTATTTGGGCTTAATGGGCCCTAGTACGCTTGTACATGTCTGACTTCCGTGTATACACGTGTATGACCTCAACTTTAATGAGGCACACTCATTCCACTTTCAGATGTCACGGAACTTAGAATTTCTCAGAGTAACAGAAAAATTACTGAGACAGTTTAGAGACTAGTCCACTTTCTGGAGGTGAAGCTTGGGCAGACTGTCGAATTTCCATCCAACACTGCACTTGGAAAAGACTTGGATGGCCACAGAAATGGGAGCAAGATATTGCACACGGCAAAATGAGAACATAGACCAGTGGAAAAGGTTTCCCCTCTTGCTCCAAATCACATACTAGCGATTCTGGCCAACCATGCAACATGTTCAGAGCAGTTTTCCTGAAATGCTGTAGGTTAAAATTCATCTACATGTAGCACCGACAAAAGGAGAAAAAAAAATATCTGCCAGAATTGTTTCTTCAATTTACAATCCAGTAAATAAATACACATACATACATGAGCAAAATCACATAAAAGGTTATTTTCTATGACTACAGAACATTGTTAGAAAAAGATAACATACGTGTATGCTAATATGTAGGGAAAGATCAACTCTGATACACCAGCATTTCTTCAAAACCCTACGTTGATATTGTGCAAGCTCACTTCCTCAGCTCATTTAGCTGTGCTAGAGGTATTTTCGCAGCACAACACGTTTTAGTCCTTTTGTAACTTGTAAAGCACCATGGCAGACAAAAAAGTCTGGTGGAGTGTCTGATCCCCCGCTGAATGCCATGGTCCTTTCAAAAGTGCATGGGCAGACAGACAATCAAAGATCAAGGGGACACTCATTGATGGGAGAGGGGACAGCATTTTACGTTTACTTGAACTATACTTAACTCATAAAATAAACAGGGAGAATGAAATTTAATGAATTGAAGTAAGGGGCTCACACTGCTCTGACCAATTTCCTGAAAAACATTCTACTGTCCTTCAGTGTCTCACTATGCCCCCTCATGTTTTCAGCACCCCTCCTCCAAAATGGACTTTCTGATCACTTCCTGGGCATATCCATTTTAGTAAAGGCCTGCATCACTGAACATAAAAATGCCTGGAAAGGGGACACGTCACCTCATACTGTGCAATGTGTTACATGTTCCTGCGGGAGGCACAGGGCAAGTCTGACAACCGTCAACCTGGCCTTTGAGTAAGTTGAAACATTGTCAATTTGTCTTTACAGGAAAAAGAAAAACTTAATAAGCCAGAGAATGACGTGAAGTAATACAATACTGGCAGATTCAAGTCATTGCCTTATTAATTTGATTACCTGTAAGTAATTATTATTTATTAATTAGGTTTGACTTGACGTAATGCAAAAGCAGCCACGCCTTAAATAGTTGACCCGAGTACTCAAAAGTCAGAACATCGCGAATGCCATTAAAAACTTTCACCGTGACTCTTTTTCATGTTACTATGTAGATCTGACAACTAAAGCCCAGCACGAATTTGTTCACACATAACCATTACAGCGGTGGCTACTCAAAGGCAGATCCACAATTAAATTTGAGCTGGCAAAACTCATTTTTAGGGGAGCCAAACAATGAAGAAATTTTTTCGTGCAGCCTTTTGCGGCCTTACCGCGTTGATATTTTGTAGCTTTTTGAAGGCTTTTGGAAGTGCTGCAAGAAAATGAAATAGATAACTCCCTCCCCTTAGGCTCTTTTATGGCGGGAGGGAAGCATGGCCCTCATTGGCCCCCCTGAATCTGTCAATAAAAAGGTGGCTTCAAGTGGTAATGTTTTCCATAGTCTTTACTTCAGATAAGTATGTTTGAAAATACCTTCTTGTACAAGCCCCCTTGGATTCTGCACAGCTCATGAGGTACTTGAAAACATGCATCAAATACAAATTATATACATGTACTTCTATTTCAATAAATTGGCCTTATCCATGAGTCTGTCATCTTGAATCAAAAATGAAGCAGTTAGACTCTTCTATGGCTATGTCATAAGTGTCATTTTTGTCAACCGGTGATTGGCAAATCTAAGGCTGGCTGTAAGTCAAGACCAAAATAAATATTCACAAAACTTTAAAAAGATCTCAAGCAAACATAAAAACACTATACAGTAAACAGCTCTACTAAATGCTACATGAAAATAATTCCCACTTCAAGGACAAATTCAGCAAGTGGGCATTTGGAGGCAAAAGATGAAACCAACTAAGAGTGAACTTTCGGCAACCTTTGGCTGCCCGTACACAATGGCGGTCAATGTTTGTAAACAAAAGAAAGGTCTAGTAGATGTTAAAAACCAAACTTGAGATATAGGAACAAGACCGATGTGATAAGAGAACACGATAGACCACCCTCAGTGTGCTCCGTTGGGTGGTTCAAAAATAACAATAAAAACTCATGTCAGCTTTTTGACTGAAATGGAAAATGAGGCTGTTATGTTGAGTGTTCAGTAAAGATCATGGATTCAGAGAGCTTGATCTAAAGTGGCCATCTCACATTTAGCTCACAGTACTTCCACAAACATCCTCTGACAAACTGTGAGCACAAGTAAACTCCTATGTGCAGACTTGGCCCTGGATACAGAACAAACGTGTAATGTACACATGCTTTGGTTGATTTGGGTATCGCAAACTTTTCAACAAAGTGATATGCATGTAGTCCTGCAGGGAGAGAGAGTAAACATTTCAACAGTAGCTAACACCTTGAGATAGTCTGTTGGCCAATCAAATGTTGGGGTTAGGGCTTAGGAGTGAATGGGTACATATGGATATGCAGTTTCCTTTGCTTTACATTTCAAAGTCTATATGGCTGAAACAATAGGGATGACTTTGCCTACTTTTTTTTATATAAAACTGGTGAAAAATGCTTTGTCTGCTTTATAGGTGAAAAAACTTGAAGTTTTCTCTGAGATTACATCCTCAGTATGGCTACCAAAGAATCAACGGGCCATCATCTTGAGTGCTCTAAATGCCTTAACCGTTTCCAGGACCCCAAACTTCTGAGTTGTTTGCACAGCTTTTGTCTGGCATGCCTCCAAGAGTTACAGCAGCACGCCGATCTGTCTCAGAAAAATGCTCTGTGCCCAATATGCAGGAAGGAAATTACTACACAAAATGTTGTCGACTTGCCCAGTAACTTGACACTGAGTGCACTGGTGGAGGAGGTTGCCGTGCAGGAACAGCTGCGAGAAGGTCAAGGCTCGGGGGTCAAATGTCAAGCATGCGTTGAGCAGAATCAGGCTGTGTCCAGATGCGCAGACTGTGACCACTTCCTTTGCCAGGATTGCCAGCGAGCACATCAACGTCTGACAATCATGAAGTCCCACACCATCCACACAGTGGCTCAGCTGAAATCAGGAGAAGTTGTGTACAGGAGCAAGCTGCGCGACTTTGTTCCAAAATGTGGGAAGCACACCGACCAGAGTCTCAGCATCTACTGCAGTACGTGCCAGCGCCTGACCTGCACCACTTGCTCCATCTTACACCACAAGGGCACTGAGCACTCCCTCAGTGACCTATCAGAAGCCTTTGATAAATGTAAACAAGAAGTCATGCAACAAATTGCTGCTGTGGAAGCGATTAAAGTTGGTTTCAGCGAAGCAGCAAGTGAAACGGGTGAGTCCCTCCAAACACTGCAGGCCACATTTGATGAAACCAATCAGAAAATTACCGATGAAGCCAACAAGGAAGTTGCCAAGATAAGGGACAAGGAGCAGCGAAAGAAGCAAGAGCTGAAGCAGATCTATCAAGAAAGAGTCAAGATATTTGAGGCTGCTGAAACTGCCAACAAGGAGAAGGTGGCCAAGCTTGACCGCAAGATAGACAGCACCAACCAAATGATAGCCCAGGCCAGTTGCTACGAAGTGCTGGGCATCAAGCAGACACTCCTGCAGAATCTCAAAGAGCTGCAGAGGACAATCACAGAGCCAGTGAAGTTGTCCCAGGAGTTGAAAGCAGTGGAATTTGAAAAAGGCGTGAAGCCGCTGGGGAGAATGGCTGCTGAAGCTGAACATCACCTGGAATCAAAGGCTGCACAATTTACACCTCCAAAAGCCCCAAATCGGTCCCACGTTCAACAATGCCCAAACACGGAGATTAAAGACACAGTTGAAGTCCTTCTTGAAGAACCTGGGTCAGCCAGCCTCAAAGATGTGGGGAGAAAGGGTCAGGTGGGCAAGAACCAACTAGCTGAGAAGCCAGACACAGAGCAAAAAAGCTCCAAGTGCAGCGATCAATGGTCATTTGGAATTCTGGTGCCAAGAGATCAACCGAAATCTGAATCAAAGCTTACAGTCGAAGAATCTCATCAACCAGAGGGATCCCAACAAGAAGAGCACTGGATCCTGGCAGGAAAGATTGAGAGACTTGGATCTGACCAGATCAAATTTCGTAGCCCCTATGATGTGGCTGTATTCTCTAACAACGAGTTAGTCATAGCAGACACTGAACACAAAAAACTAATTCAGTCTTCTCTCACAGCCAATCCTTGGTCTGACGTTTCAAGCATTCTAGAAATCAACGGCCTGACTGATCCACTCCATGTTTCAGTCAACAAAGACGACCAGCTCATCGTTTTAGACAGTCACACTTGTACGGTCAACATCTTCAACATGAATTACAAACTCCTTCGACAGTTTATACCAGGTAAATGGACAAACGGGGAACCAACGTGCCTGTCAGTGGATGAATGTAATCAAATAGCCGTGGGCTTCAGGAACCAAAAGATGGTATTTCTTCACAGCTCAGACGGATCACTCATCAGATCCCTGCATGCCACAATGATCGACTCTTATTTGGCAACCTTCAAACAACGATTTATATACACCAACTACTGGAACAAAATGTTGTATTCACAAGACTACAACGGTGACATCGTGTTTTCCGTGAACATCCCTAGCAACAGTCCCAGTTACTGGGGTCCAAACGGCGTGTGCTGCGATAAGCGCGGCAACATTTATGTTGCCGTACGTGGCTTCGCGTCATCCTATGAAATCCAGCGTTTCAGTCCAGATGGAGCCAACCTTGGTTCTGTGATCACACAACGCAGTATGCCACGGGGCATCTCACTTGCATCTGATGATCATTGCCTGGTTGTGGCAACAAAATGTTCTGTCTCCATATATAGACGTGTAACTCACATATGAGATTGGCCATGACAACACAAAAAAGGATTGCATGATTCAGTTTCTAAAAGCAATGTACTCTGTAGACAAGGACTTTTTATTACTTGATTCTGGAAAACTAAAGTTGACAAGTTCAAATGTGAATTTTTCACATGTACTCATTATTAAAAGAAAGACTGAACAGTGTTTAAAGATATGACTGGCCAATTCTAGTTCTGCCCTGCCTCACACATGGTGTCGAATTCAATAGAGTACACATGGGCTCCACCTGTTAACATGAGAGGTTGCTTTTTACCAGGCATTTCAAAAGCCCACACTGCCATACAGGATTTTGTGTGTTCTTCAAGGTACAAAGCACAACTGATTGGTAGTTTAATGCACATAAACCTTTAAGGCAGGGACTTAAATGATTTCTAAAGCCTGCTGGGGAATACATCCCTCCAACTTTTGACTAGGGGTTATGGGCAATCTGATCACCCTCCAACCCAAAATTTTTCGGAGGTGAGAAAAAAAAAGCATGGTGGATTTTCTGGCTGGCTTTCAGCTTGCCAACAGCAGAATCACAACTCAGAAATACTGGAATGCAAGAAGTACAAACACCTTAAATGCCCTGCTTAGTGCTTATACATTAGCATGCAGGTATAGATAACATTTGCATCTGGATTATAAATACATGTACTTTAACTGTTGTAATCTGGTGTTTACATCCCCCATTTGAATTTCCATAGCCAGGCAAGTTCAGGATTTCTGCCATCTCCACCCCCCCTTGATAGCATTTATGCCACTGAACTCCACACATGGGAGGGTTTCACACCAGGTACAAACGGTATTAGTCATGGGCATTCCCAGGGTGGGGGTGGGGGGTGGGGAGAGAACAGAAAACGGGAAACAAATATGAAGATAACAGAAGAAGGGGAGAGGGTCTTGATTACTTGCTTGAAAATACACATACTTTGGAATCGACCGCCAATCCCCAAAGTCTCCCATTCCCTTCAAAAGCCAAGAGAGGCCATTAGCTTGACTGAAGAAGAAACCAAATTGAGGCAATGTCGCATCACAATGTGTTGAACTTCTTTGAAATGAATTCAACTTCAAGTTAATGGGTGAGATCATGCACATGTGCCTGCTACCTGACCAAAACTGATGGCTAACCTGTTCTACTCTTTTGGCCTAATCGCCAAAAACTGCCTACCTAGAAATGAATTCAACCTCATGAAAAACAAAACTTAACCAAGTATTTGCTTATAATAATAAAGAGATATGTAGAGACCATGGACAGATTAGCATGAGATGTCCGTTGTGTACCAGAGGCACAGTCTCTCATTGCTTATTGGACCCCCCCTTTTTTTAAGTAAGCCTACTTCTGTTTAGTGTACAGTGAGTGCACTGATGTGGGGAGCGACATGGAACAGCAGTT